GGAATGGTGTTTGCGTTTTGGCTCGTCACTCGCCTCGTGAAGAATGGCACCGTTCTGATGACACCCGAATGCGCCACGTGGGGGTTCATGAACACATATGTATCTGGCCGTTACCTCCACGTTGAAGGGCACAGGGATAGGGATTCGGTCAAAATGGCAAATGAGACGAACCAAGTGGTCAGTGCTATCATGTTTTACGTGACGACACGTTTGTGCTATTATATCATTGAACAGCCTCTCAATAGCCATTTCTATAAGTATGCATGTTGCGCAGCTGCAATTAAGAGCACCCGAGGGCGGTCAGTTCTCACTTACCAGAAAGCGTTTGGACACGAGATGCCGAAACCTACGCAGTTGTTGTTGACTTGCCCAGAGAAATACAGCCACTTTCTGATTCGCTCGAAGCCGAAAGGGGCGTCAGTGGAAGGAACTCCGACGTGCCAGAAATATTATACCATGTCAGGTGGATGGCTCAATGGCCACAAAGCTCTCCGAGGTGCCGAGCATTTCCCGACGCAGTTTGCGCAGGCCATAGCACAATGTATAATTTGCAGTTCGGGTGCAGCGCCAGCGATCTCGTGTGAGTCGGGTGCAGACCCATCGCACAATGTTTAGTTTGCTCGTTCTGGTGCAACTCCCTTTTTCAGAGGAGTCGCATTCGTATATTGCATATTTCCGTGAGCGTATGTAAGATATTGCTCACGACATGCGTGTGACACAGTGTTTTCTGCCAGTGCGCTCTTGGCCACACAATTGCGGGAGCCTCTCTGGGCCGACTTGGGGCCCTCTGGGGCGCTTCGGGGCCGTCTTGGAGGCCATCTTGGGCGTCTTGGAGGCCTCTCGGCCCGTCTTGGGGCCCTCTTGGGGCCGTCTTGGGGGCCTCTTGGGCCGTCATGGGGTCATCTTGGAGGCCTCTTGGGCGATCTTGGGGCAACCTTGGGGGCCTCTTGGGCCGTCTTGGGCCGTCGGAAAGCCGAAACGGCGCAAATACCAAAATCAGTCAAACACAAAGGATAATCAATGATTTTGGCCTCTTCGGGCCTTCCTGGAGGACCTCTTGGAGGCCCCTTGGGCCGTCTTGGAGGCCTCTTGGGATCCTCTTGGGCCGTCGTGGGCCATCTTGAGGCCATCTTAAGGCGTCTTGGGTGCACCTTGGGCCGTCTTGGAGGCATCTTGGGGCCATCTAAGCCGTCTTGGAGGCCATCTTGGAGGGTCGACCCGAGGAACGGTCGGTCGATACGGCTGCCACCTTGCGAACGCCTGGGGTTCCCCCCTCCTCTTCCTTATCCGCATTCTCAGCCTCTTCTTCCGCCCCTCCCCCCTCCTCCTCCTGCTCCTCCCTCCTGCTCTCCCCTCCTCCTCCTCCTCCTCCTCCTCCTCCTCCTCCTCCTCCTCCTCCTCCTCCTCCTCCTCCTGTCCCTCCTCCTCCTCCTCCTTCTCCTCCCCCTTCCCCTCGCATCCCCTTCCTCGCCTTATCTCCTCTTCCTCCTCCTCATCATCGTCCTTCTCCTCCTCATCCTCATCCTCCTACTTGTCTTTCTTCTTGTCATCCTCCTCGTGCACCCCCCCTCCCCTATCATTTTCCTCTCCTCCTTCCTTTCTCTTCCACTGGCCTCCTCATGCTCCGCCCATGCGATTTTCCTGCGCAATCGCTTCCTCCTCCGCCATATCCTCCTTCCTCCTTCTCCTCCTCATTCCGCTCCTCCTCCTCCTCCTCCTCCTCCTAGTTTTCTTCCTCTTCCTCTTCTCCTCCTCCCCCTTTTTATGCTTCAACGCGTTTGCTGCAGCCAAAACCTGCGGCCGATCGGATCGTGCCACTCGAGGCGGTGGCCGGCGCCGAATTGGAACCGAACACGCTGCGCTCTATTGCGCCACGTCGCGCCATGAGCGCGAGCACACAAGGGAACGGACAAAAAAACACCAAGCACGGAAACCACAATGCGACCCACCCACAACAGGCTAGACATGTAGCCAGTTGCCGAGGAGTGCCGAGCGAACGCATCTATATTGCACTCGCTTGTATATAACGGCCAAAACCAACCACCTGTCGGACGTTAAAAACAACGTCCAAGCAAGATTTTGACGGCCCACCTCTGGGTTGCTAAATCCAACGTCTTCTACCCTCTGGGTCGTCGGGGGCGCCGTGCCGGTGCCCAGTGGCGTCAGTGGCGCCAGGGGTGCTGCGCGGTGTCCTGCCATCTCCTGCTGTGATTCTTGCGTCGGGCCTCTGCGCCTGGCGCGCAGGATCGAAGTCCGGTCGGTCGTTCGCTCGCCCCCGGTCGGGCGGGCGCGTGGAAGCGCCTTGCGTCGCGGCGGCAGCGCCTCCTTTGCAGTAGCGGTCGCTCGCTGCATGGCTGCGTCCGCCTCAGTGCGCAGCGGCGCGCGCGGGCCAGAATGCGCCCGCCCTTCGCTGCGGCGGCGCGCGCATGCGAGGCTGGAT